ACCACGCCATTTTTGAGAAAAGGGGATGACCTATCCAGAGAGCCAGTTCAGCAGAACGGAGACCTGGGTTTGTGCTGAGTTTGGCAAAGCAGTGGTTAAGAGGGCAGTGGTGGTGGGGACATGGCTTTAAGCTCATATTGGTGGCCTCCCTTGCCTGGACGAGACGTCTCTTTGTGTTGCCTTTGTCTCTTTTAAGACTTAAAAAAGAGCTGGAGTTATCTTTAAGTTAAAAAGTAAATAAATAAAATAAAATGGTACTTGTAATCAGGATTTTTTCCAAGGTGGGTGGCTGGGCAGCTGTCCAGAGCAGAAATCACAAATTTACATTCCTTATTCTTCTGTAACTTTTGTCTGCTCAACAGCGGTGTTCTGATAGCAATGTTGGGATAATAAACTAACTTTCGATGTAACATTTTTTAATACTTACAACAGTCATTATGGCAGCAGACCGGTTGTTAAATTACTTGAATCCCACCACTGCATATAACCCAATTCAATTGGAAATATTTCTTAAATCTATAAACACATACATTATACATACCATATATACTCAAGTATAAGCCAACCCGAATATCAGTTGGAGCACCCAATTTTACCACAAAAACTGCATTAAAAATGTGCTGAGAAGCTCAGCTTATACACGAGTATATACGGTGCACTAAAAGCCCAAGAGAGAGAAGCAGCTGAAGAGCTAAGTAGGCATTTGGTGAACTTTGCCAGTCTAGAAAAAGAACTGGAGATATCATAAAAGGCCTTTAAAATATGCAAGTTATATATGTTGTTTTTTTTAAGTAGAAAGATGTATCTGAATAAAATTCACTGAACCTCAAAAAAAAAAAAAAGCAAAAAGATGGAGAATTTTATTAGAAAATGAGAATCACTCATTAAAAACAAAAAACACATGGAAATTCTAGAATCTAAAAGCTTGAGAACTTAGGGCTATGGTCTCAAAGGGTGCCTAAGCCAACTGGCATGACACAGTCCTTAAAGGATCTATCTTCTACCCGAGTATCAACTGGGGTCTTAAGAGCTTGCCAGAGGTCATCTAAGTACCCAAGACTGTAACTCCTTATGGGAGTAGAAAGTCACAGGGCCAAGGGACTGCATAACCCACAGCCTCCACTATCCCGAGACAAGAACTAGACAGTGCTCCACTATCACTACCAACTGCTCTGACTGGCTGGAATCCTAACAGGAGCTCCTCAACTGAGTGGGAGAAAAATGCTAAACAAAATGAAAAACCATAAAAAAACACCAGCTCATTGGTCTACTGGACTGGTGGAACTCCTGAGCGTATGGCTCTAGCCACCACGCCAAGCCTGGCCCTGAACTCACTCCCAGAGATCACTTTCAGCCAGACAACAGACAGGTCTCCAAAGTGAACAGTAACAGCCAGCAGGAACGTGCTCCACAGAACAAGCAAGCACCCAAGACCAGCGGCAGCCTCTGTGCAACAACACAGCTCAGAAGACAGGAGGCTGACCAGAGGACTGGAGAGGAAGTGCAGAGAGAGCTGTTACATGTATTCAACAGATAGGTTTATGGGCAGATTGGAAACTGGGCGGGGGAGTTGGGGAACTACTTAAGCAGTTAATAGTAGATGTGGTAGTTACATAATTTCATGTCAATTTGAAGATACATATAGTGTATGGGTGGTAGTCAACCTGGAACACGCCACAGGTCATAGCCTGAAGGTGCCTCCTTGTGGGTGTGGCCTTCTCATAAGGAAGATTCAGGGAATCTTCCCATCTCTCTGCCTTCCTTCCTGCTTGCTGGCCACCCTGAGAGCTGCTGGAATCCTGTGATGCCTATTGGATCCACACGACTCTACACTCACCAACCTGTGATCTTCCTGCATTCTGCACCATTGCACGCGACAGCATGATTCTGAAGACAGACTTACGGACTAGTATCAGACTTATGGACTTGGACTGGGCTGGGCTATTTTCTTGATATATAAGTACTCCTTGATATAAAGCTCTTCCTTATACATATATGTGTGTCACTGGATTTGTTTCTCTAGTCAACCCGGCCCAACACAGTAGAATTAGAATATATTCTAAGTAAAGTGAAGAGAAAAAGTAATATAAAACACAAAAATTCATAGATGAAACATATGAGGCAGTGTGAAAAGGTCTAACATCTAATTATCTGGAGTCCCAGAAGGAAAACAGAATGTACTACTCACTATTCAAAGAATTATTGAGAACTTTCTAATACTGATTAAGAACATCAAGTTACAAATCTTAAGAGTACTAAAGAAAAAGAAAACAAAAACTACCTATGAACATATCCATAGAACTGCTAGTAGCATAATAAAGATTGAGAGCTAATTCCCTAACAGAAACAACAGAAGAGAGTGGAATGATATTTTTAACGAAACATGCAAAGAGACAGTGGGGACAGTGAGACCATCGAGGATGGAGTAGCATGGCCCCTTGGGGTTTCTGAGACGGCAAGTCTTACAGGAACAAGCACCCTCATTCTTAGCTGGCAGGATGGGTAGGGGGTTTGAACTGCTGAACCTGGGGTTAGCAGCCTGGGGCTTGGTCCACTGCACCACCAGGGCCCCTTCCTCTGAATACAGTTATCAGTGAAAATACTCAAGAAAAACTAAACCAAAGACAGTTCCTTTCACACAAAAATTCAGAGAGCCCATTGATAGCAAATACACTAACACAGACACACACTACAAGAAGTTCTTTGGGCGGCTCTCTCCCTCCACGTGGACCAAGTGGGGCTGAGCAAAAATATGGCAATCTGAGTTCCTTTTGAAGGTGACTTCCATGGCTAAAGTTGAAGTTGCTCACTCTCTGACGGAAACATCCCTTCCCGCATGAAGCATTCATCTCTGCCACATTGCATGGCCATCACTCAGTAGAGTGTACGAAATGTTCCCTTTCGTCCTTCCTTAGAAATATAAATGACACCGGCAGTATTGTTATTTTTCCTGTGAAAAGAGCACTGTGGTAGTTACATAATCTGGTGTCAATTTGCGGATTGGGAGTGTGGGGGTGGAGTCTAGACTGTCAGTCAGGATGTGGCCAATGAGGCCTCTGTGTTGGCAGGGCCTTCTCCTGAGGATTCTGGGAACTCTTATATTACCTCCTCCCTCTCTGCTCACTCCCTTGAAGACTCTGCTGACAAGGTTCACTCTACTGACAAGCCACATGAAACTACCCTGAGGCAGTCAGAGTTTCGGAGCTGAGGGAACTGCAGGGAGACCCCTTCCAGCGCTGAAATGCTTGCAACACCACTGGATCTGCGGGGCTTCCCACCCACTGGCCTGTGATCTTCCTGAATTTGGCGTCACTGCATGTGTTTCAGGAGTCCGAGGAGGACTTTACGGATCCGTATCAGACATATGGACTAGTATTGGACTTGTGGACTTGATCTGGACTGGCCTGGTTTCTCAATATTCAATTGCTCTTGTTTTCTCAATATTCAATTGCTCTTGTCTATAAAGCTTTTTCTTACAAACACACACACACAAAGAAGTTCTTTAGGCAGAAGGAAAATAATTCCACACGCAGCCATGTCAAAATAGGAGGAATGAGGAGCACTAAAATGGATAAATATGTGGAAAATTTCCATGGCGAGGAAGTGTCTCAGGGCACTGATTCAGGGTCAACTACTAAAAGAATAACAGAAACAGTTATATAAATAATAACTCCTTGATCCAAAAGAAAGCAAGAGGGGGAAAAAAAGGAAAATAATAGGATAGAATATTCTCCTTTCTTGAAATATTATAAATTAAATAATTATAAAATGAATTATTATAAAATAAAGAGTGCCAGGCTGGATTCACAGAAGATAGATAAACAAACAAACAAACAAACACGTATCTGCAGCTTAATGAGAGGCTTAGTTTACAAGCTCTGGCCATTCAGTATCAACAACTCTATATGTTTAAGTGCCTTAATTACATAGGCTAAGTACATATATAACAAAAAAGACAAATCCACAATTACTTTCTCCTTTAATAACGAACAGAACAGATACAAAATCAGTAGAGATTAAAGAATTGGACACAATTTAACAAGCTCAACTTCACTGACAAATACAGAACGTTGAACAAAACTGCAGATTCCATTCTTATTAAACAATACCACAATTTACCATCAACTAGTCCCTGGTGGTGTAATAGTTAGGCATTTGGCTGCTAACCACAGAGTCAGCAGTTCAAAACCACCAGCTGCTCTACTGGAAAAGGATAAGGCTTTCTACTCCCAAAAGGAGTTAAGAGTCTCAGAAGCCCACCAGGTCACTTCTGCCCTGTCCTACACGGTCACTCTGAGTCGGCCCGCACTGGGTGGCAGTGAGGATGGCGTGTCAGACCATCAGGGAGAGCTGGACAATGAGCCTGATTTCTGAGTTCAGGCGACGGGGGCTGGGAAGTGGTGACAAAAGGCTACACGGAGGCTACAAGTGCTTGAAAATCTAATCATGGAAACAACTCATGAGTCACAGAAGAAATCAAAGGTAGTATATTTTTTACCTGGAAGATACGAAATAAAACAAATCAAATTTGTGAATGTATCTAAGCACCTATTTCATGAAGCTTAAAATAAAAAGAAATCAAACCTAAAATAAATAAATAAAAATAACCAGAAAAATACAATGAATAAAAAGTATATGCTCAATAAAGAACTTTAAAAAGACAAACTGCTTCTTTGGAAAGATGGAGAAACATGACAAAGCATCCTAGCAAGACTCCAGCACCTGTGTATGAGGCACCTTTAAGAGTTCAAGGAAAAATTCCATTATCTCTCAATTCCATTTTTCTATAACCCTTCTGAAGCCCTTTCTTTTGTATGCACAGAAAAAAAAGGGGGGGGGGGAATATCCCAAAACATAACATGATTAAGTTCCAAAATGGCCTGAGCACAGGTCCATTTTTCTTTCTTTCTTTATACGCCTTTGGGGGTTTTAAATTTTCTGAAAACAAGCTGTTTACAAAAAAACAAATCCACCGCGCGAAAGCCACTGAGTGAACTTACCTGGACGCAAGAGAATAGATGGCACTGGCAGAGGAGGATGGTTTGATTTTGGGGTGCTCACACTCGGCACCTCCTAACGGACTGTTATTCACGTTCTGGAAAGAGAAGGACACTTGAAAAGAAGAACTATCACAGCTACATCGTCCCCTTACCATCATAATACAAGACTTTACTCTCAATGCCAAACCCAGGCTACTCAGCCAACCAAGCTGCACTGCCTTGTGCACGGGTTAGGGAGCGGCAGAACTAGGCAGATTTGAGTCCACTGGCTGTCTGCACAAACACCACATCTAACTTACATCAAACTATCCAACACGACACTGATACACCCCCCCCCCAGGAAGTTGAAGCCAATCCATGCTCACTGGCCTTTCATCACACAGACCCCACAGACCCCACTCAACTGTCCCTGTATCGCAGAAGTATAAGCGCACTACGGATCGTGGCACTGCTCCCCCTCCCCTCTCCCTGCACTCTGGATCTGTCCTCCTCCATAGCCAGCAGCACCCACTCTCCATACTGCTCTAGGTCTGCTCAGAACGAAACCCAGCCCTCCGTGCACCTCCCACCCCAGCTCCAGCTCTCCGATACCCCTCTTTCCTTTCTCCACAGAACACATCATTGTCCAACATATTTGTTTGTTTTCTACCTTCCATCTACCTAGAATGTCAACTCTGGGAGAGCAAGAATTTTTGTTGCGTGAATCCATAAATTAACAAACCAATGACTACATCCTTCTACCCCCGTTCTGATAAGGAGCCCTGGTGGTGCAGTGGGATACATGACTGGGCTGCTAACTACAAGGCCAGCAGTTTGAACTCAGCGGTCACTCCATGGGACCAAGATGAAGCTTCCTGCTCCCGTAAACATCTACAGTTTTGGAAACCCAAAAGGGCAGTTCGACTCTGTCCTACAGGGTCACTCCCAGTCAGAATTGATAGCAGTGCCTTTGGTTTTTGGTTACCTCCAGTTCTGAGCTTCTCACTCACTAATCTTCCTGTTTCTCAATTGATCCCCTTCCACTCTCTCCTTGTGCTTTGTGGCTTGTTGCTGTTGCGCCAACTCTGACTTAGGGGCAGCTCACG